TTTCCCATGCAGCGTTTATTTGATCAGATAACACCTGTTTTGATATTTTGCAAGTCAATACAATGACATTTACACATTTTTTTAGTGTAACTTAAGTGTCCAATTACTTTTTAGTTGCATCTGTATGCCCTCTACTATATCATTATCAAGATATGCATCAGTTTATTACAGGTATACAGACAGATGTGTTGTATGTTTGAATGATACATGATTTAGAATCTGCTAGAGATTGTCTTACTTCATTAACTTTAATTCTTTTCAGGTTGCGTTTCACCTGCAGCCCTACAAAGGCCGGACAGACCTCACTGTGCACGACAACATCAAATACATCATAGACAAGTAAGCTGCACCTCCTCAATACCTCCTGCGCCGTTCCAGAACTAAAGATCACAACGAACCTGTCTGCAAACCTGAAAGTCTAGCCCTTCTCCATCCTGATGAGCTGGCTTGCTTTGAACTCAGGAGTTGGGGTGAAATTCAATCCAGCCTGGCGAACAGAAAAGAGAGCGGTCTTTTAAAAATAGAGGTCTTTTCCTCCATTAATCATTCATGAAACAGAACGTATAACATGACCCGATGGTATTGTGGCTCAGGTTCAAGAGAACAATGGCTGCAGTGTGTAAATCTATAACACTGTAACAGTCTACTGACTGTAGCATGCAGAGTCGTTTTGTTTACCAAATATATTAAAGTAATTTGTCCTTGAATTGTTCTCTAGCAACAGGAATGCTTTGGAAAGAAAGACATTATGTAAAACGTGTAGGTTTACATGATCTGAGTATCAGTTAATACAGTCATCTGTACTGCTGTTTCTCAAGACACTGTTTCTCAAGTGCTTTCCGTGAGCGCGATTCGAGACGGAGTGAACACGGACAAAGGCGTTTCATTCATTCATAACCCCCCCATCGCCCCCCCGGCACAGTTTTGTATAGGGCCCCCAGAAGTCTAGGATCGGCACTGATTACAACTCTGATATGTTCTAAACTGAGTTCAGTATAAATAAACACTAAATAAATAAATAATCTTTTTACAGATACGGGAAACACAGGGCTTTCTACAGGTTCAAGTCCAGCACTGGGAAGATCCTTCCGCTCTTTTATGTGTACGACTCCTACCTTACCCCACCGGAGGCCTGGGCTGAGCTGCTGACCGTCAGAGGCTCTCACAGTCTCCGAGGAACTCCTTACGATGGCATCTTCATGGCCCTCATTGTGGAAGAGCGTCACAAGCAGGACATCCTGGCTGGCGGGTTCGACGGCATGTACACCTACTTTGCTTCGAATGGCTTTTCCTTTGGATCTTCTCACCAGAACTGGAAAGCGATCAAAGCATTTTGCGACAAGAACAACTTGCTGTTTGTGCCTAGTGCTGGACCTGGTTATATGGACACCGCCGTCCGGCCGTGGAACAACCACAACACACGCAACAGAGTGAATGGACGATATTACGAGACCTCTTTGCAGGCAGCGATGTCCGTAAGGCCTGATATCATCACAGTAACGTCATTTAATGAGTGGCATGAAGGAACTCAGATTGAGAGGGCCGTGCCTAAGAAGACTGTGGCCCGTCTGTATTTGGACTACAAACCCCATCAGCCAGACCACTATCTGGAGCTCACCAGGAAGTGGGCAGAACATTTCAGTAAGGAGAAAGAGCAGTGGCTTATGTGATTGGAACTAGTAACGTCTCACCATTGTTGAGTTTTGGGTTTAGAATGTTTTCATATGTTATTGACGTTATCAATGTTACCGATTACTGTCTTTCAATTTATGCATACATTTTAAAGGCAGCTAATTAGCAAGGATGAGCCACCTTCTTGCTCTCTTACTCGGCCTATTGATAAACAGTTGATTTACTGTTGCAGACAGATTTCTTTGAAGAATCTTTATAATGTTTAAAAAAAAACAATGAATGAGATCTGTCCAAAAATGAAATTTGTGTTTTGCATTTGTCCGTTCTCATTCAGTCAAGTGCATATTCATACATGGGACATCACGAACAGCCCAAAACATGTGAGAACCAATGCTGTTTGCCATCGCTGACATCAAACCTGGCACGAAATGTCTTGATGTGCCATATTTGAGCGGATATGACTGTAAACACAAAGTTAGTGCACAGTTAGTATGCCTTAATGGATTTTATGTTATTAATTTTTTTCTCTCTCTTGTTTTATTTTGTCATTTTTGGACCTAAGCAGCATCTATCCTCATTCCCTATCATTATATGGAGAAGAGAAGCGTGAACATTGTGCTATATGCCTCCTTTTGTATTCCAAGTGTGGATTGGAAGTACATAGTCTGAGTGAATTTGGTATTTTAGCTATTCTTTTAACATTAGGCATTGAATCTGACTTCTGCTAGCAGCAACAGTGTGGCCTCAGTATTGAAAGACTATACCTTTATTGTGTGTTTGGATGACATATATAAATGGTTGGTGGTTGTGGATATAGATTGTTTGAGTAATGGCTGATTTATTATCTTATTTAGTAAATCCTAATTATGCATATTGTAACTCACATTTATTATTAAACAATAAAAGGAAATCAACTATTTTGCCATAATGCTGTATTTTACAGATAATAACAGACTGAGCAGAATTAATTTCTTTAAATTGTCACATTTCTTTAAATTGTCACATTTAAATTGTGACAATTAAGTCAGTGTCTCAATTTAAAGGGGTCATATGGCGTTGCTAAAAAAGAACATTATTTTCTGTATTTGGTGTAATGAAATGTGTTTATGCAGTTTAAGGTTAAAAAACACATTATTTTCCACATACTGTACATTATTGTTTCTCCTCTATGCCCCGCCTTTCTGAGTTGAGTTTCCGGGTTGAAATGTTCTGGAACAGTGTTGTAAATACAACTTAACCACTGATTTCTAGTCGTGTCCTCTTTTGGAAGACCAAACAAAGTAGTTTCGCTTTCACAACGAAACACACAGCGCCTCCACGACATGGCGGCAACAATACTACAGCGAGAATAAAAGTTATGCCTTCTTTCTTTGCGTGAACATTTGGGCGGTGTTATGCAAATCTTCCCACATCGTGACGTAGACATGTGGGGCGTGTTAGAACGAGCCGTTTTAGGAGGGCGAGGACAAGTCTTAACTTTTATAAAGAATATCTCTTTGGTTTTGAGACTTTAGTCTTTGCAACTTTAGGGATCTTATCTATTCACGAACAGCTTGTAACACTCCAAAGAGAAAGGAAAACTTGAAATCGCATCATATGACCCCTTTAAATAAGAATGGTTTTATAAACAAGTAACACAAAAATTGGTTCTGCTAATTTTTCATTAGATGCAATATTATTTTTTGCAGAATACTCCTAAATTAAAATTTAAATGTATATTGATGTAATGTAAACTAAACGGAGTTTCATTAAGCTAATTTTACCCCTTTAGGACATAGCACAACTTTGACATTTTACGACTAGAGGATGGTGTTGTCATGTATGATGAATGATGTTTAGCGTAACGATCACAACACCGTAATTAATCAAACTGTGTCTGGATAGATTTTGGTTTCACGTTGCTTCATGTTGAGCTAATGTTAGCCAATGCTGTTACAGCAGTCTATGAATGTCAGCCCCACACAAAGCAACACTTGAAACAGAACAGGCACTTCAACAATAATGCATTACATGAGTTAAAATTGCATCACACATAACACAATCAGCACCATGCTAAAATAGCCACAGAAGAAAAAAGACAGTTTTATTTGAAAAGGTGACTCAAGAACAAAGCAATAGTTATACAATGTGGATGTACTCAGCAGTGCAGGCAGTGGCCTGATGGTTGATATTAAAATCCTTTCTTGTATTCTAATGCAAGGTTGACTTTAAGTCATTTGTAGGTTGACTTAATGAAAAATGTTGTGATGTTTTAAAAACATTGATTTGTTCGTTTGATCAACCCAAGGTAACTTTTTACTTTAATGTGACAGTTACATGTTACATGCACTTACTATATCAATACAGTAAGAGTAAATTATGCATAATTACAAGCAACTAACCATAAACCAAACCCTAACTTTAACCTTAACCTGAAGTACATGTAGTTAATTAGTACTACTCTGTACTTATTTGTGTAATTACACCATAACAACTTAAAATACCTTTTTAAATAAAGTGTTAATGTCATTAATGGCACAAAAACTACACACTTCAAGAGTTTTAAGAATAAAATAATTATATAAAACAACCACGAAATACTTTGAGAGCAGCATTTACTCTGATGTTAATGCCCAGAGGCAATTGTTCCCAGTCCTACAGTTTCTGGCCCATTTGGACTGATCACACAGGACAGTGGAATGACACGATTAGTTCACTGTCCCACATCATCTCTTTTCGGCTCATATAACCAGCTTACACCATACACATAATAATGTCAAGCCTAATCATAATTGTGGGCAATATTTTTTCCTCGGGTGACAAGCCTGTGCTCTCAGCCTTCCATCAACAATTCTCAGCAAGACTAGAGATGAACAAACAGCACAGGAATGAGAACATGACATGTGACGAATAGAGGGCACTTTTTTATGATTAAATGGTTTGTGATGCTTTGTAATACAACTAGATGGAGGGGAACAAAAGAACATTTTTCCCTTTCATAGGTTCACTCGATGCTGTGCCAGCAGCTGACACTATGGGAACACCCTCCAGGTGTCATGATTGTCTGAAGCCAGTATAGAATGATGCCAATTCATTGGCTGATGGTGCTAGCGGTGGCTACTGAGGCACTAAATCACTGATGCCTCAAAAGGACGCTCTTGTCCCATAAGATTTTCTGTCTTTAGGAAGTGGTTTATCTGCAAGACCGAGGAATTTAGGTCAATTTATCATGTTCCTCTGCCACCCTCAGCAGTTCTCTCCTCTGGGTGAACATGATAAGTTCCCGCAAGTGCGTCTAGCATGATAGCTGTGTGAAATGTTTGATGATTAAACATGCCCAGGCAGCGCTTAATGGCCTGTTGGATTGTCACCATTGTGACAATTTTAAATTAAAGGTACTCCGCTCTAGTTTCATCTTCTTTCTGAAGAAAAAAGGACATTCGTTAAGCCCCGCTGCTCTGGTTCTGCTGTTGCTGCAGCACCACATGAACCAGACAATTGGGGTTCTGATGCCAAGCTAGAACCAATGGAGAGTGAGTCAACGAATGTGTCCCTATAGCTCTCTCTCTCTCCCCAGATCATGTGCGAGTGGTCAAGTGTGTTTCATCTACCCAGTGAGATTCACCTATGCTGATCTCTGTCATGCAAATCATACCGCTCAGTTATACCATCCAATTTTGGTGCGGTTCCCCTCACTTCAACAGAATTCTCCCTACAATGGTTGTCCCTGCGGAAGCTCCAGTGCTGAGGCAGGAAATACTTCATCCTCTGGAGAACAGGGCCATAGAAGAGTTACCTCCTTCCCAGAGGGAAGAGATGTTGGCAGTGTTCCCCACTTTGACAGAGTTCCTTCTGCATCTGAGAGACTGCCATGTGTTGGTCAGGATGGACAATACATCAGTAGTTTATTTGATTCATCAAGAAGGGTTACATTATTGTTCCCTATGGAGGTTGGCGAGGCACATCTTACTCTGGGCACAGTTTGTCCACCAGGGCATTTTTAAGTTCTATTTATGGCCTTGTATGCCTTTATTGGGATAGGACAGTAGAGAGCTGACAGGAAAGCATTGGGCAAAGAGTGGGATCAGCAAAGGACCTCTTGACAGGAATTGAACTCGGGTCACCGCACTAACCACAAGGCTATCGTCACCGACCATCAGGGCGATTCATGTTTCAGGTCATCTGAACCTGGGAGAAGATTTGCTCTCAAGGCACGGGTTGAGCTCCGGGGAATAGAGGTTACACCCTCATGTGGTAAACATGTTATAGCAGATATTTGGTTAGGCAGAAGTGAATCTCTTTGTGTCAAGTAAGATGACTCATTGCCTACTTTGGTTTTCTCTGGCTCCTCCATCACCTCTGGAACTGAATGCTCTGGCACTGATGTGGCCCAAGACCAGCCTGTATGCTTTCCCATCAATTGGCTGCTTTCAGCAGTTCTATTGAGAGTAAGGGACGACAAAGTTTGTCTGATATTAGTAGCTCCGTTTTGGCCATCCCAGGAGTGGAATCTAATTGGTCTTAGAGGGGCCTCTTTGGGAGATTCTGCTCAGAATGGACTTGCTGTCTCAGGCTTAGGGAACGGTTTATCACTCTTGTGCAGAGATGTGGAATCTTTGGGTCTGGGGCCTCATGTATAAAACTTTACGTAGATTTCTTCCTAAATGTGTGCATACGCACAAAACCTAGATTTTGTGTACGTACAAAAGTTTTCAGATTTATAAAGCCATGCGTACGCCAGAACCTGCGCAAAATTCCCTTTGTAATACCCAGTCAGTGGAAGATTGTGCGTACATGAATCTCCACCCCGTCTCCTCCCCGAAATAGCCATATATGGAGCTTACAATGCATAGTTTTAATATGCATAACGTCATCTGCATATCATTTCCAAGCATATTCCATCCACGTGACACCATGTTTAACACAGTTAAGGGTAGAAATACGTTGATATGAGATACGGACTATAAATGCGTTTTGAGACATCACTATTCTAATTTATGCAATTTGCCTAAAAGGTAAACATATATTTTAGAATGTTTATAGCCTATATTTTTATGGAAATAATTTTTTTGCAGTGTAAATAGCTGACTCACCGCATCAATAACAAAACATTTTGAAAATAAAACGTGCATATCTTACAGTTTCCTTCAAATTCTATCTTTTAAATATGGTGTTTGTCACAATATTGGGAAGGGCACTAAAGGGGTTATCATTAGGCTACTGCCTGTGCGCGACACCTGTGAACAGAGGTTCTACTGTCATCTGACCTTTTCAACCCAGCCAATGGACTGTTTGATCAACGAGCGCATCCTTATGTCTGTCTTTACCGTCTATGTTCCAAAGCCATCAAACAAAGTCAAGTTCACAAAAATGATCATTATTATTCGCGCAAAAGTATTTTCTCAGAACATGAGTTTTGCTATTTAGAACACAATTTAAAGCGGAATTGTCATGCGCCAAGCAGGAGGGGGCTTAGGTGGAGGACATAGACTGAACAGGGACTCCCAGAGGATGGAGGGGCCAGGGAGAAACTCTCAGCAGAAGAACCATAATGCAGGACCATAGAGTGACGAATGACCAAGGCAGAGCGAGAGGGACAATGAAGCCCAGTGGTGCTGTAGAGACGATGGTCCCAGGTGGATTTGAGGGAAGGAGGAGACAAGGCAGAGCCGACCCTGAAAACAAGCCTGCACTGGCCCTTTACGGGCCCACTTAGGGCTAGCCTAAGGGCCCCCAGCGGGCTGCATGGGCAGCCCTCACTTAGTCCACACTATTAATCTACAACAGGGGTGCCCAACCCCATTTGAGAGATAGGTGGCAGTAATGCACTTATAAGTCTCTGATCTACCGTAAAGCAAGAAGAAGAAGAAGAACCCTGGTCCTGATCAAACACATCTGAACCA